GGCAGGCAGAGAGACCCCCCAGCCGGTCGATGCACCGTGCTGCCCGAGGAAGTCCCCGGCTCGTGTGTGAGCCGACCGGCATCACCTCCCTGAGGCCCCTCTCCCCTATCCAGGAGCTCTTCCATGGGCACCAGGGCAGGCCAAAACCCCCAAGGGCTTATTTTCCTTGCTGGAGAGCCCCGGATTGCTTGCATGGCACAGCAAAAAGCTGCTTGGCTGCATTAAATATTTAGGCTTTGTGTTTGCGGGAGGGTGAAGGGCAAGAGGTGGCTCGTGGCAGCGCCGCCACCCGCTGCACCCGCTAGTGATGGGGAGAGCGGCAGCGCTTTCCCATGGGACCCCCGTGTTGGCCAGGGAAAATCCTGCCTTGCCGCAGGCATGGGTGAGGGGGGTGAAAATCAACAGGGTTTGTTTAATTTCTCCAAGTTTTCCATGTGCGCCGCCATTCTCAGAGCCATCCCAGTGGATACAGCTGGTGGGTTTGCCGCAAATGTTGACCCTTTTCCCTGCTTTTTACCCCAAACTTGCCCAGACCCCCTGCGAGGGAGCCCGCTCCCTTTGCACTGCTAATGCTGCGTCTCCCAGGGAGGATGAACCTGGAGGGATGTGTTTACCCAGCTCAGGGCAAACATCCCAATTTTTGCCTGAACAGTCCAAAACGTGACGTGGGATGTTTTCCCCTTATCTTGACTCTCTCAGGGTAAGGTAAAGACCATCCACAGCCCCTGGCAGGGCTTAGGAGCACATGGATAAAGATCCACTTGCACATTTGCCACTAAACAAGGAAAATAACTAAGACAGATGGTGAGCAGCCAATGGCTCCTTAACCGTGCACTTAAAAATCGCAGCATGGGGTGAAAAAAAAAAAAAAAAATCTCCCCCGACTGCTCCAAATGTGACTTTAAGTGGCTCTCAAATCGGAAAAAGCAGCCCTGGCCCGGAGCTGGGAGAGCCCGCTGTGTGAACGCTGGGCAGCCGGGATGCTTTCCCGGTGCCTCGCTTTGCACGTGCCCTTGCTGCCACTGCTGACGGCTGCGAGGGCCCCTTGGCGCCTGGGAAGCGCGAGGCTTGTGCACCCCATGGGCTGCACGGATTTCCCCGCCGTAGCTTCAAGCACTGCATCTCGGTGTCCCCAGGGCTCTCGTGCTGCTTCCCATGCCCCAGGGATGGGGGTACCGAGCCAGCTCAAGGGGGGAAGTCACAATGGCTCTTGCTGGCAGGCTGATGCTCTGGGAGTGCGATGGGTTAATACTACGCTGCTGCCTAATTGCAGTCCAGAGCTGTAAACACCCCCTGCTGCCCCCCCCTCCCCCGGGGGAGGGGGAACATCATTGCATCTCTGGATGTAAAATACACAAGGGCTGAGCTTTAATGACATTTATCTTTGTTGGGAAAGGAGACAGCATAACTCTCGCCTAACGACATTACCCAAGGCTAGTTCTGCCTCTCCTCCAGTGCAGAGACGGATGCCACCGCGGCGGGCAGCCCTGTGTCCCCTGTGTGTCTCCTGTGCAGCACGGGCAGCCCTGGCCTTCACTGCCCAGGTTGGAGCTTGCAGGCGGTCGCATGGGATGGAGAAGGATCCTTTTTTTGGGAACGCAACCTCCCTTGACCAGCTCCCAGGGGAAAGCAACCATCCGCCCCATTAAACGGGTGTGCAGACACCATGCCAGGTCTCTCCTCCAGCCCACCGGGCTGGGGGAGGTCTCTGCGCTCCCCTAAATAGATCAGATTTGGGGGTGTGCAGCTGCATTGTCATGAGATGCGACACTGACGCGTGTGCGATCCCTGGGTTGCATGATGGGCGCGTCCCCGGCCGCATCGCTGGGATAATGGGGAGAGGTCGGGGCTGCTGGGCAGCTCCTGCTGAGTGTTTCTTGTGCGACTGGGCTTATTTTCCAATGCTTGTGCAGGCAAAAGCGAACCTACCGAGGTGTATAATGACTAATCCACATCTGGCGGGAATGTGCTGCCGAGGGGAAAGCTGCACGTTAACTCTGCGCTCCCCAGAGCCCTCCCCAGGGAGCAGGCAGGCTTGGGAGGCTGCGGCGACGTGCTCCCGGGGCCGCGCTGGGAGGGAAGAAGGTGCTGTGAGGGCATTGCAGCATCACGCCGAAACGCTGTAACCAGCTCTATGCATGCTCCTACCCCCCTACCAGAAACACAGGAGGGCTGTAGGTTGCTCTGGCTGACTCCCAAGGTGCTTTCCATGGGCTAATGCCCCCATCTACAGCCCAGCAGCCCTGTTGTCCGGAGTGTGCAAGGCAGGGAGATAGCTTCAAACCCGTGAGGAGCAGGCTGGACACTGGCAGGGATGGCATTTTGCACTGTCAGGCTTTTTCTGATTGATACAGCTGCCCCGGGCCCTGCTAAAAATGAAAATAAAAGCAAGATCCAGCATAGAACAAAATAAATTCCCATGCCAGCAGCCACGGGTTCAGCTCCTGAGCATCCTCCGGCATCAGCGTTTTGGGCCGGTGGAAACGCTTGCCTGAACAGGAAGGAAATTATTGATGTGCTGAAGTGCACGGGTGCAAGGTGCAACAACGCAAGGGCACCCGCAAGCGCCGGGCTTCAGGCACGCTCCGCATCTCCGCGGCGTGGCTGTGTCTGTGTGCACACACGTGGAAGTCTTGCAGGGCTCACACGTGCAGATATTGCTGGAGAAGGACCTGAACAAGGATTCGCTGCATTATTTAGCTGAACGCTCATCCTAACAAATAAGGGAGTGAAGTATCAGTGCGCAGTAGTGAAGTCTGTGGGCTTAGATTTTTTACGAGAGAAGAAAACCAGGAGGGAATAAAAGTATTTTATGGTTTTGTTTTAAAACTAGTCAGTAAAATCCTTTTCAGTGCTGGGAAGATGGAATCTCATAACACTCAGACGAGCTTCCCAGGCTGATAGGAGTTTAGCTGCAATACTTATAAGATTTAAAGTCAATTGTATGTGTGGGTACTGCAATGTCTGAGGGCTGCGGAGGGTGAGATTCTGGCAGGTTTACGACCCCTGTATTGCCGGGGTACATGCGCACCAGGGGCTGAGCTGCGCCCAGCTGCGTGCGGTGCCCCAGCGGCGGCAGATACCGAGATGCTGGCGAGGTGGGGATGCTCTGCAGGTGCTTTGTGCTTCCCTTGCCCCAAAATAAACTGAAGTAAGAACTTGGAAAGTGTTTTGGATCAAACTGCTGCTCAATTTACCAGCAATGCTAACCCCAAGCACTCCAACCACGCCAGGTGGGCTTCCCAAACCCTGTGTTTTACTTAAAACCACATTGACTGAAAAGAACAACTTTGGGTTTAATTTTCTTCCCCACTGTGGAGCATCTGGCACTCCCATTTCTCAGCTTTTCCCAGGCACCACGAAGGCGGGAATCCCACCTTTTGTGTTCCGTTTGGTCGCCCGTGCACTGCTTTAAAAAATAATGAAATGACGACAGGGAAATGTGACTCGGGGGAAAAAATGAGGCAGGCAATGAAACCACACGAGCTGATAACCCCGTTTGCTGGAGCGATGCTGTTTCATGTTCGCTTTGCTGTGATCTTCTGCAGCACCTGCCTGATTTGGGCCGGAGCCACGGGGGTGATGGAGGAGCGCGATCTGCATCTGGGCAATCTCAGCCCGGCGTTAGCCAAGTGACTCCTTAATCCCAAAGAAACTCTTTTCCACGTCCATCCATGGAAACAGCAAAATGTCAGTTCCTGAATTAACCATAATAATGCTTCCCATGGCCCTGGCAGCGCTTTCCGAGGGGAGAAGCGGCTCTCCCTGCATCCTGGGCTGTCATCACCTCCTCGCATCCTGCCCAGAGCAGCCCAGGAAATTACTTTCTCACTTCTCCTGGCCTCCTCCTCCTCCGTGCTCGCCTGGATGTCTCTAATTCGCATCCCCCTGCCAGCTCTGAAGCCCAGCTAAGGGAAAATGCATCTCTACTACCCTCCGCAGAAATACTCCGCGTGCTCGCTTTTCTCGCTCGATGCTTCTCCATATTTACCAGCCCTCTGATGTGCTGGAGTCGGTAATGCGGATTTCTTTATCGGCAGGGGAATAGGGAGGCTCCCCTCCCGGCCCAGGCTGCGTGCGGGTGTACGCGTGTGCCACGCAGCCCTTCGCCCGCAGCCGGCAGCCGCTTAGATCCTGCGGCACGGGGGGTAAGTGCTGTGACAGGACCCACTTATCTCGCCTTTGCATTTCATAATTCATCCTGCCCTTTTGCTAAAGGCGCAAAGCCGTTTGCATCCAAACG